GATGCTCCTTTGTCTCACGTGTTTTGGGCATGCTGTCAGAAGGAGTTAGTCATTGGAAAAGGACATCATGCTGAGACAGGTGGAGGTTCAGAGAATGAGAGGAAGACTCCCACCAAGATGTATTGACACAGTGACTATAATAATGACCTAAGTGTGGGGAAGATGAGGAAGATGGCTTAGGACAGGTCAGGGTCCAGATCTCTTGCTCATAGGGTCACTGTGAGTTGTGGATGACTTGATGGTACATAACAACAGCAACTGTGCCAAGATCCCAGAAACATTGGCCTTTTTAGGTGCCAGGACCCCACTCAGAGAATCACTGTCCTCTAGGATACAGGGGATCCCCCACCCCATGGGGAACACCTCCCAGCAGAGAGAGTCTGAGACCTAGGAATTTTCCTGGGGTCCTGGCCAAGCAAAGCAAACCTGAATAGATTACCTAGACAGCTCTCGTGGGGTCCTGCTCATATCCCAGAAATTGAGGGGATTCTGCTGCCAGGAACTGGGGCTGGGCTGAGTAAGGACAGGAGGGTGTGGAACCTCCACAAGACCTTGGCCTCATGAGGGCAGGGCTTGGGAATGCTAGAAGGTGGAGGAAGGATTGGAGAGTGAAGACTTCTTCTTTTCTCCCCTCTCAGAAATGTCCATAGAGGATCAATGTCTAGACAGTGCTTGGAGACTTGAGCAGGAAAGCCTGAAGGTGAAGAGATTTCCAGAATCTGTTTCTGAAAGATAGAATCAGGTGTGTGGGCAGACTTGGGGCTTCTGAAGTTAAAGCCAAGGCTTGTCTGTGGCTTTGGTATTTACCCCCACACTCTTCAGCATCACCTCATCACTTACCACCCAACCAGATTGAAGATGCTCTTGCCCACCCTCTATGGGGTACAGAGAATGAGCATCAGAGGTGGTATGGCCTTACCTGCCCCTTGCCTCACTTGACCCCTGACTCATTTTGTTCCTTCTTCATCTGACTACTTGCCTCATCTGACTCCTTCTTCATCTGGGACTTACCTCATCTAGCCTTTCCTGAACTATGCCTCACCTGGCACCTGCCTTGCTTGACCCCTGCCACGTCTGGGTACCTGTCTCAACTGGCCCCCTTCTTTGCTTGGTCTCTGCCTCTTTTGGTCCCTGCCTCAACTGGCTCCTGCCTTACCTAGCTCTTGCCTGACCTGAGCTTCTGCCTCTGCTGGCCTCCTGCTTTACCTGGCCTCTGTCTCTCCTGGCCCCTCCCTTTACCTAGCCTCTGCCTCTCTGGGCCCCTGCCTCACCTGGCCCCTGCCTCAGCTGGCCTCTGCCTTTCCTGGCTCCTGTCTCACCTGACCTTTGCCTCACCTGGCTCCTACTTCACCTGGCTCCTGACTGCCTCCCCTGACTCCTGAATCATTTGACCCCCTACCTCCCTGTAAGCACTGTAGGGGTACTGATTTGTTTGGATTTCTCTCTTTCTCTGAGGAAACTGAGAACAGGATTTTAAGAAATCCAACACTGGTCCCCTTGCCCTGTTTTCATTCTGGGGAGATGTTCCTAGAGGTGGATGGAAGAATGAAGAAAATTAATGTCCCTAGTGGACAATATTTATAGAACAGGGTTAAGATCTTTTGTTTATAGGATCACTATGAGTCATGCTTGACTTGACAACACAACAACAACATATAAGGCCAGCCCCTTGTTTCCATTTTGGAGACTGGGTGAAGCAGCTGGACTCTGTAAGATGGGTGTTCTTGTTTCGGTTGAGGGTTGGTGTGAAATGTTTGGTTGGTTTTTTATTTAAGCCTCTTGTTTAGAGTCAACAAGACCTTGTGGAGGGTACTTGTTTTTAAAAGTTGGTTGGGCCTGAGGGATTATATTTTAATCCCTTATTATTATATTTTTGAGAAACATTCTTCCAAGTGTGTACATCACTCTTCTGTCAATTTGCTTGTGCCATTGGGGTTTCAAATGCCATAATGGGTGCCCATGGTGCACAGTGTTTCGTGGAGCTCTCAATTTAAGACAGGTTTGGAAGCAGGAGTGGCATCCACTTCCTAAAACACACACCTCTGGAAACTCTATAAACTTGGAGAAACAACAGTAATTATAGAAAGACTTCAAGTCTTTCATTTATAGGTTCTCTATGAGTCATGCTCGACTTTACAGCTATCAACAACAACAAAAGTGATAGAATAAAGGTCTCCAATAAAGACACTTAAGAACGAGTTAAAAAAATGACTTTTAAAAAAAATTATAGGATTTTGGAAGAGTACTAAGTATTCCATGGACTGTCAAAACAAACAAGTCTGTATTGGATGGAATAGAACCAAGGTACTCCTTAGAAGAAAAAAAGATGAACCTTATGTCCTCCTAGCTGTGTGAAGGCTGACACGTTTCTCTGGGACTGCACTACTTTCTGTAGGGACCCTACTGTGTGTGACTTGGTCTTCTGTCTTTGCAAATGGACGGGCAGGGCTCTGTGCATAGAATCCTCAGGGCTCTTCCTGGCCTCTCCCTGGGATGTGTCTGCTCCTTCCCTGGGCTCTAGAGAAGGGGCTTTCCTCTCTGCTCCATGGGTCTGAGGGGCCTGCACTTTTTTCTCCAGGCTACCCATCTCCTCTACTAAGATGCACCTGGGACTGTGTACTGCCACAGCAAGTCACTGAAGATGCAATGTACTCAAGGTGGGAACTGGCCAGGATCCCAGCCCATGGCTGTGGGCAGTCACTTCTTCAAGCTCTGTAAAGTCACCTTTACAAAGGCCAAGGGGCCTCTCCTGTTGGCTGCTGCTGAGTCATCCTGATTTTCAGTGCTGGTAGCTTAGTTAAAACATCTTCAGGTAGTTTATGTGTCACACTTATACCCACTCACCCCACCCCCACCCCAGGATGGATTTGACTGACTGGCATTTGCTGGCTGTGTCCAAGTGAGTGGCACCTGACTCTTCACAGCATCACCATAGTGATTTGGTGTCTTTCAATGAAAAGCTGAGCTTCTGGACTGCAGATACACAACTTAGCAATCTGAGTGGCACAGTGGTCTGCACTCAGTTACTCACTTAGAGACTGGAAGTTCAGGACCAGAGGAGGGGAGCTCATTTGTAAAGATGTGCCTCCCACTCATTCATTGCTGTTGGATTGGAACTCACTGATCCTCCAGTGAGTTTTCAGAGGCTATAAATTGCATGGGAGGAGACTGTCTACCTTTTCCCCACAGAGCAGTTGATGGATTCAAATATCCAGACAGGCTCCACCTTTAGGCCAGCAGCACACTTCCTAGGACTCAATCCTACCTTTGCTAAAGGTATCAATCTCACTACCACTGAGTCAGATCTGACCCATAGTCAAGAGGACTTTTGGAGGCTGTAAATTACATAAAAAGAGAGGGTCCATCCTTTTCCTTTGCAGCGGCTGGTGGATTTAAACTATCTGACTTTGGATTGGCAACACAACACCTTATCCACTAAGCAACCATAAAGATTATAGCCCAGACTATACAGTGTGGCAGTTCTCTTGTGGAACACTTGATGGGCTGCTATGAAGAAGGGCTGACTTGACTGCAGCTGTTACCAGTAATGGAAAGTCTCATAATATGGCCTGGGGTGACCCAGCCATGGAAAGATTCATTAGAAAGGCCTATGATAACCCAGTAGGAATGATCGAGTGATGAAAAGGCCCACAACAATGGTCTGTGGTGACCCAGCTACAGAAAAACTCAAAACAATGATCTGTGGTTATCCGGTGATGTAAAGACTCATAACAACAGTGTGTGGAGACTCAGTAGTGGAGATATAGCTCAGTGATTGAAAGGCCCACAACAATAGCCTATGGTGACCTAGTGATGACTCAGTGATGGACAGGCCCATAACAATGGTTCATGATGACCCAGGAATGGAGAGGCCCATAATAACAGTCACTGGTGACCTAGTGATGGAAAAGATCATAACAATAGTCAGTGATGACCCAGTAATGGAAATGCATATAACAATAGCCTGTGGTGATCCAGTGATGGAAAGGTCCTTAACAACAGCCTGTAGTGACCCCAAGATACAAGGACTCCAAACAATGACATGCAGTAACCCAGTGATGGAAAGACCCCAAACAATGGCCTGTATTGACTCAGTGATGGAAAGACTCAGAGTAATAGCCCTTGATGACCTAGCCATGGGAACCCATAACAGTGAGCCCACTGTGGTGACCCCACTGTGCCCCACAGAGCTTTCTATGGCTGGATTCTTGCAAGTAGCTTAACAGTAGTTTCTTCTGAAGAAACTCTGAGTGGATCCACACCTCTAATTATTTGGCTAACAGCTCAACACCCTGCCTACAATGACAGCCATTTTTAGTCAATGTTTTCTGTGTGCACAGGGAGTACATGTTATTTCATTCACTCTTTCAATGACATTGAAAACATATATTAATATCCTTACAAAAGGGATATCCTTTCACAATCTTATAAAGGGTCAGGGAATGTGCAGGATGGAATGGCTTTTCCAAGAGTTAAGGCTTATGTGTGTAGGACAAGTACCAACACTCAGCTGTGCCAGGCACCATAATTGGGGATGAGCGAGGAGTACTGAGGGAGTCTCACGGCAGGAGCCCAACCAAGATGCAGGAGATGGTTGGGTGCCTTGTCAGAGCAGCCTCCTGGGGCTTACCAGATAAGGAATCTTGGTGGAGCATCCTGGCTGATGTCCAGCTAGAGTGTTGGAGATGGTAGGTGTCTGGTCATGAGAAGCCTCTCAGGGCTCACTGGTTGAGAGGTCCTGGGGTAGCCTCATGGCAGAGACTGGCTGGAGTGGTGGGGTGCCTGCCAGAGCATTCTTTTGGGGATCACTGGGTGAGAATCTTTAGTGGAGCCTCATTGACAGAGGCCCAGCCAAAGTGCAGGAGTTGGTGGTTTGCCTGGAGAGCAATTTGTGGGGCTCATCGGATGAGGTGATCTGGGAAAGCATCCTGGCAGAGTTCCAGCTTGGGTGCAAAAGTTGATGAAGTGCCTGAAGAGCCTCCTTTTGGGGCTCACCAGACTCACTGGGTTTGGTCCCACACACTGGGAGGGGTCTTACTCCTCTGCCCAGAGAGACATTGCCAGAGTCCCCTGCGGATCACCTGATTCCCCAGGGCATAGTGGCAGGCGTTGACAATAGGCACTGCTTTGGCCATGAGGGCAGGCATCTGTTGCAGCAAAAAAATTGCAGGAGTGAGTATGTACGCATCAATTCGTCTCCCTGGTCCCACTGATGACCTTCGCCCCTCCACCTCATGGCAGAAAGCCATATGTCTTCTGCCTGTTGTATGGGTTTGAAGTCATCTTTATTAGCAGGAGAGGATGCCCGAAAGGAAATGCCCTCTTGCCCTACAGCCTTGACAAGTACAGCCCCTTATCATTAAGGGGATGGATTTGCCATCTGCTTGTCTGTCCCTGTTACTTCACAATTAGACTAGGGTGGCCCAGGGTGGCAGTGGGGAACATTCTCTGTGCACTATTGCCGTTTAGAGTCAGAGCCTCCTTGGAACCAGGAGGGTTGTAGTGGGCCAAGAGAGGTGGGCTGGGCAGGTGGGGGCACTGGGGGCTGGTGTCTGCGTACCATCTGCAGTCTCGGTGGAATGGAGCGCACGTCGGCAGCAGCTGCATAGAGGTACAGGAGGGCATAAGGGCCCCAGCCTAGCAGTAGGGTCCTCACTGGCAAAGTCGTGTTCATCTGGGAAGAAATGGTCCTGTGAGGCCTTGGACTGCTTGAGAGCAGATGATTGTCCCCACACAGCCTTTGAGACCTAGACTAGGAGGCCTGCTCAGCCTGTGGCAATGCTGGGCAGTAAGGCCAGGCGGCAAGGAGGCGCTAAGTGTGAAGGCCAGACAGATATTGTCCAAGGGTTGGGGTTAGAGTCCAGTACCTTCTAAGGATGAAAACTTTGAGCTTGTCACTTGTGCTAACTTGAACTTAGTTGCCTTATCTGTCAAATAGCCTGATAATTCCTGACTTGCCTAGAGGTTGGAGCTGGCCCAGTACTGAGCTTCCTTCCTAACACTGTGATGACATGGATGAAGTCCTCAGGTCAGCTGCCCATCGACCTAAGACTTTGATCCCAGGTCCTGCTGGTAAGTTCCTTGTCCCACTGCTAGATGACAAGCAAGGACTCTGACTGGGCCAGGACAGGATTCTGCTGTAGTCCTGTCACAGGGCAAATAGGGACCACACTACTTGCAGCCTAACCTCAGGAGGCCCTCGGGCTGTACTCTTACTTCCCATATATTCTCAGATATTAAAGTGTGTCCACAAGGAAATCAGTGCCCATTTTCTCACTGTAACACTTATGTAGGGCAGATGCTTAGCATTTTTACCTGTTAATGGAAGGCTGTATGTTTAATCCACCCACAGAGAACACTGAAGCCCTAATAACTCCTGTCTCATTGCTCAGGCACCTAGTGAGTCTAAGACGGACAGAGAGGTCCCTCCAGTTCTGAGAGCTGGACCTTTACCTTGAGAAGACCATTCTTCTTGAGTTTCTGCTCCATGAGCCAGTAGGAAATAACTGTGATGAAGAGGGGCAGGAGGAAGTTGAAAAAGGCCATGGTGAAGAGGAAACTGGTGAAGTTTCTGTGGTGGGGGAAAGGAGTGAAGGTGATCTCTTAGGATGTTCAGCTGATTTTAGAGGGCTGCCAGTTCATTTCTAATACTGGACCCTGGAACTATTAGATTTGAGAAGCCACACCCCTCAGATGAGTGGTTAGCGTGACAATTCCGGGGTTCAGATGTCAGGAGCTGCACTTGACGAATCAGGAAGCTCAAGTGCATATGTCCTCTTTCAAATTCAGTGTCCATCCCTGCTCTCTTAAAATTGCCAGTTTTCCAGGGTGCCCCCCTCCCCAGTATAGAAAACAGACACTGTAGCCTGGGAAACATGTTCATCCAATGAGGAGAGATGAGCAGGGCAGGAGTTTGGAGCATTTAAAGTGTTTTAAATCCAGGGATTGGAAAGGTCCTAAAGATGCCTAAGACATGAATATGGTGTCACTAAAGAAACAGTTGAAGATACTACAGAACAGTGCAAGGGACCAGATAGTGGCCATGGGGTGAAGGTGGAGGCCTGCCTCTAGGACAAATTAGGAGTAGAAGGTGGGACTTTCTGGGGCAGTGCTGTTTTTTAGGGGACCCTTGCACTGTGGATATGGCCACTAAAGGCACTAAGGAGGGGTGGGAAGAAGGAGTGGACCCTCTGGGGTATACCAGATCACTACATGGACATGTGTCAAGGGTTAAAGGTCTCAAAGTGGTTCTATGTGAGTGGTTATCAACCATCAAGACCAGGTGCTTCATGAGGGACTGAAGTGTATGCTGAAGATGAGTGAGCGTGACTCCAATAATAGGAAAATGAGACTCCTGAAGGAGTTACTTGAATCTTAATTTCTCCTAGACTATGTGCTCTATCTATGGTGGTGCACTGAAGGCATATATCCCCATGGCTGGTCCAGGGATTTTGGAGGAACTAAACTACAAAGTGTGGTCCTTCAACACAAAGACCTTAACATTCTTCAAAGCTGTCAAACCAAGGACATGACCTCAGAACTCTGGTCATCTCTGTGAGGACAGCTGACTTTGCCTGCTGGAGAACATAAGGTCTGTGGCGCTCATGGCTGTTATAACTGACACAGAGCAGTAGCTCACAGTATAACTACCCTTCCATGGAACCACCTCTGGGACATTGGTTTGAATTATGTCTCCATCCCTCAGTCAGCCTTCATACCTGGATTCTCCAACCACAGCTGAGCAGTTGTGACCAAGGTGTTGACAGGAAGATGTTGACATTCCTCCATTTGGATTTTCACTCGGGACCCCATTGTCTAAGTACTCACCTGTCCCCTGTGGTGTAGTCCAGAGTGCAGCATGTTCTCAGTGGCTCATAGTCATAGTGACCCCACCCCAAGATGGGCAGAGCTGCCCAGAAGGCAGAAGAGAGCCAAATGAAGAGCACCAGGATGCTGGCTGAGCTCCAAACCAGCTTGCTTCCTGCATGGCAGAAGGACAGTGGGGCTGAATGGAGGAGAGTCATTTGAACAAATATCAGTTATTCCAAATTCCTTCTGGTCTTACAGAGATATTCTAAATCCTACTCTCCTGCTCACATACTGGTTGCTTTGCAACAGTTGGAGAATTTCTCTGAGCTTCGGTGTTCTTTACAAAATGGGAAAGACGACCCTTCCCATGAAAGATGAGTAGAAGGAGAGAAGACATTGTGGATGGTAAATGACCCCTAGCAGACATACAGCCGGAGCTGGAGAAAAGGACAGGGCTATGATGTTCCCCAGAGTACTGGCCTTGCACATCCATGCCTACTCCTCCACACAGCCCCTCTCTGGATGGGAGGGTGGTGCCTCTAGGACCTGGTTCTCTAAACCCATTCTGCGTATTTGCCTGTGCTCCTCAGGAGGTCTGGCCCAGGGCAGAAGATGTAACTTGGGTGCAGTTTGGAAGCAGAGAAGTGTGGGCCACCCTTCTTTTGTCAGACTGATTCTATTCACACAGTCCAGATGGAGCCATTTGTATAAATCCCCTTAATGGTGGCACAGTAGTAAATGCTCACATTGATTTTCTGCGTTAGAACAAGAACAAATGTGACTTTCCTAAGGCCATCAAGAATGGACTTCATGCAACAGACCAGCTCTTTCTCCTTTCCTTTTGCTTTGCTGACAATTTTCTAAGTAAAAAAAGAAATGGCCAAAGGTGACTTTTCCATGTTGAGGCTGAGTAACATGTCTCTCTGAGTAGGAGTTGAGTGTGGGTAAAGCTCTGAGGCAGCTTTAGGGAGTAAACTGAGCAAGGACAGCAGGAGGGTAGCTCATAGGTTAGGTCTTCAACCTCTCCAGACAGTAAGAACAAAATCAGTTTCTAGTCGGGAGGGAGGCATCTGATAGGAAAAGCCCACAAATGGATTTAAGGGGCCACCTAAGGGATGAGGCTTTGGAAGGTCCATTAACTGGGAGACAAAGACAATGACTACATCCAGGTAGCCTGGCCATGCTGAAGCCCAGTTCTGCCCTCTGCTAACTGATCCTGGGCAAACTGAGTGCTTTTCATGGGTTAGACTGAGCCACAGCCCTTGGTATACCTTGAACTCCAGGGATGAACAGGTCATCTGGATAGTGTATGGATAAGCATACTTTATCTTCATAGCTTTTGTTTAATGTGTGTTAATGTGATAAGGCATTATTTTACAGATATTTATTAGAACAGGTACATTTTAGAAAAACCATTAAATACATAACAGACATAGATACGGAACATAACTATCTTAGACATTTGGACTAAGATAGTGACAATCAGCTGGGGAATATAGAGAGCTACAGTGGCCTCTGTGAAGCCCTGGTGTGGCTAATGTCCTGAAGAAGCATGAGGTCACAGACACAGACAGACACACAGACACAAAGACAGATTCACAGTGCGGACTTCTGATATGACCAAGGCCCTGTAAAAGTGTAAAGTCACAGACACACACACACACAGAGCCACACCAAAAACAGAGACAGATATTGATGCACACATAAACAGATACAGAGACACACAGGCAAACACACACACACACACACTCACACGCTATGGAGCCCTGCTGTGGACAAGGCCCTGTGGAAATGCAAGGTCACATATACACATACAAACACACACACACACACACACACACACACATACTGCATTCCTGCCCCTCATGCCCACAAGGGCATTCTCTGTACTCACAGTCTTGTTTAATTTTTGAGATAAAACCGTGAGGTTGCTTATAAGGGGCAGAGATTCAGGGAGGACCCCTGCTATGCCTGGGGTTTCAGTGATGGTATGGAAGGCCCTTTTGTCTATTTTTACTGGTCAACACGTGCTTCCACCTCCTGCCTTTCCTGAAATAAGTATTTCAACCATGTACCCTCATACCTGCCATACTTCCTGGTACTAGCAAACACCAAACAGGCCTGCCTTCCCACACTCTCCTGTCTAACTTGCCCACCATGCTCTGGGAGCCCACGTCTATGGATGTGTTGGTGAAGTCACCATTCCCTGCTCCTCTCTTGCCTATATGTCCTGCTCTGGAGCTCATACTTACAAGTGCAATGGTGGGGCCATCCCTCCCCACCCCTTTCTAGCCAGCCTTCCCACATGCTTTGCTCTGGAGCCGCACGTACGGGTGCAGTGATGGTGGTAGCGCTCCCAGGCGATAGCCGCACAGGTGCAGATGCTGGCCAGAGCCACCATGAAGCCCTGGAAGCCGTGTGCCTGGCAGCCATCAGAGCCATAGGGCCAATGCCTGTGGGAACATTGGGCACTGGTGAGCCCTCCCTACCTTCCTGCCCTCCTCCCTCATCTCCCAGTTATAGCTTAGAGAGGTGTCCAGTGCCTTGGAAGAGGGGTGGGGTATCTGTGCCTTCCCCATGAGGAACCCTTGGCTGCAAGCTTTTGGTCCTAGCTTGGTGGTGGGGTTGTCAGCAAATACTTCTGGAGGGGCTCTGTGAAGCTCAGAACCAATGGCAAAGCAGTAAAGCCCCAGTGGGGAGATCCTGAGAGCTTTTGCCTGCATTTCCTGGATGGGAGGCTGAAACTCAGAAGGCCTCATTCATCAAAGAGCAGACCACAGGCTTCCTGTTCGGATGAGTGAAGCTGGACATTGATGTTGCCTCCCTGGGCAGAAGTTGGAGGATGGAGAAAATCAAGGTACAGCAGAGGAGGAATGCTCCCCAATTCACAACCCACTGACTAACTTTCAAATGGGCTTGGGGTTGAAAGTTTAAGGTCCCAAGCCAAAATTGGAATGTTTAGTCTGCCTAAGAAAACAAACTTTTGAGCACTTTCTTGCATCAAGCTTGGCAAAACTTGTTTGCCCTTAGTGTGTACTAAGCAAGAGAGCTGTGATGGTCTACTCATAAGGAATTATGCTTCCAGTGCAAAGATATACAGCTCAAATACACCAGGTGCTTCATAGGAGAAAGATGGGCAATTCCCATGCAATTTAGAGCCTCCAATAACCTTCTACAGGGTCAGCTGTGGGTTGGTTCTGACCTGATAGTACAGCAGCATGTACTGAGCAAGGAGCTAGGGTTGTGCAGGGGTTAAGTGCTTAACCGCTCACTCTAAGATGGGGTTTCTGTATGAGAAATGCCTGGTGACCTGTTCAGGTGGTAACTATAGCCTCGTAATTCTGGGTCTGCCCTGCCCCACACACAGTGGTCACAGGGCCAGTGACTTGGAACTGACTCAGCTGCACACAGCATGGTGGACATTCTATAAAGATACTATGAATATTCTGTCAGCACATCCAGCTTCCTGTTACAGGGTGATAACATCAAGGCAATCTGCTGAGGAAGTTTGGAGTTACAAACAACGGAGCACAGCCCCAACCCTGGGTGTCTGGGCTCTGACATGGTGGCTGAGGGTAAGCGTGTACTCTCCACCCCTATAGAATGCTCTGATGACCACATATGCACCTGTCTGGACTACAGCCGCCAACCGTCATCCGTTAGGAAGCAGTTCAGTACACCTGTCCACTCTTCACTCAGACCAGCTTTCACAAGCAGGGAGAAACTTGCCTGGCTACACTTCCCTCCCCCTCCCAAAAGCCCAGAAGCCCACAGTAGAGGAGAGGTGCAGAGGATGACAGAGATGGTGATGATACCGGCGGAGACTGGACATGGCTGCAACCAGGGCGTTCAGGCTGATTCCACTGTCTGCCAGAGCTAAACTCAGCACCAGCAGGTGGCCAGGTGTCCATAGCGTGGGGATCTTGCAGAAAGAGAGGATAGTCAGGCCGTTGAGGCTGAGCCCGCTGAGTGCTGAAAGGAAGAACAGGAGTTGGCATTAGGGCTAGTGAAGCCGCTGCAGTCAGACTCAGGTTCCTGTAGTGGATGGAGCCTCAGCAGCATTCCAGGGCCACAAGCCAGCAAAGATTTTCCATAGCTGTTTGCGGGCTGGCCCACAGACACCACAGGTGTGGGCTCTGACTTTGCACTCACCATAGATAATGTGACAAGGAGAGTGATTCATGCTGTGACAGTGGGGAGATGGCATCCATATCATCTCACCCAGGTTTTCCCAGCTTATGTCCTCCCCATTCACAGAAAGCACAGGTACAACCAGCTTATGAGGTGGAACTGGTGGACCTCAACCCTCTCCACATCCAGACGGCCTACTTTTCCTGCTCAGGCACATGATCAGTCGGTCAGGAGGCCTTGGAAGAGGTATTGTCAAGGTGGATTTAGGGAATTAAGGACATGAAGGCCAACTTGGGCACTTTTCAAGGCATATGGACTTGTCCACTCACCTGCTGTCCCTCAAACAATTGGAGTCTGAGTTTCCTTCTCTGAAATTAGGGCTGTGAGCATTTTCCAGGAGGTTCAAGTGTGGAGGAATGTTCCAGACAGAGGAAACAGTTATGCAAAAGCATGAAGGTGCCAAATATCATTGCATGTTTGGAGATGAGAGGGAATCTAGACTGTATGACTCTAGGAAAGGGTCATCAGAACCTGCATAGAACTGCAATGCATGCTGGGCAATGGTGTCTGTCTGGTGAGGAAAATGCTGCTTTATTCTCTGCAGCTGCTGCACATGAGAGCTGGTCACCATCAATCCAGCCTTTGGCCAATTTGGCTCCAGAGTCGAAGCTGTCCCAGCTCTGGCTTCAGTTAGCTTCTTAGGAATGGGTTCTGGGTGGAAATGGACACATTCTAGTCCAGGTGGCCCATGTGTGGACATGCTCAGAGAAAAGAGCATAGTCACAAGGTGGGTAATATGGGACTGGAAGGACAGAGGAGATAATACACTTAAGTCCCTGATGTCTACTCAGGCAAATGCTTTGTGTCTGTGGCCATGTTAGCCTTCCCACCTCTCACTGAGTATCAGGACAATGCAGAGGGAGGGACATGGGAAATTCAGGATCATGGGTTCTTGATTATTTCCTGGCAGACATCCTCTCTTCAACTCTCTTCCCTAACTCATAGATGCCCTCTCACTGAGCCTCTGTCCCATGGTGCATCCCATGAGACAGAGGTCCCTCAGTCCTAGGAGAGGTAGTCAAGAAGCCATAGCACACTCGATAGATAGAAGGGCATCCTTGCCAGGCCAAAGCCATGGCCTGGGTTCTGGACACCACTAGATATCTGCCCCCCACCCACCCGAATCTACCCTGGCTCACCTTCCAACAGCAACACAGTGCCCACAGCCAGCACATCAAGTTCCCCGAAACCAGTGGGCAGGGTCCAGGGCTCTGCCATCCTTGGCTCTCTCCCTGCTGCTGGATCTGCTCTGACTCTTCAAGGGACACTTCTTTTTAAAGGGCCACTTCATAGACCAGCATGCCAGCACAGTTCTTATGCTGACCTCAGGCTCCTCCTCTTGCTGTACCTTTAAAGTAATCGTTTTGGCCCAAGCAGAAAGAACGCATTCACCAATTGAACAGTGTGGGTTTTGTGAGGCTGCGTGAAACCCTGTTTCATTCATTTCATCCCCATTGAACTGGATTAAGGCACAGGAACCAAAAGACCTAAATTGAAAAAAAGTTGCATAAACAGCCAGAGAGGGGGAGAAGAAATATTTCAGCTGCAGTTGCTCCTGAGAGTTGTTTGTTGGAGTTGACAAACTGAGCAGCATTGTGTGTGCATGTGTACATACACAGATATGTGTATGTGTGGGTATATGTGTGCATGCGTAGACATATGAAAGTGTGCATGTACATGGATGTAGGCATGTGGGTTTATGGATGTGTGTATGTATGTGTGTGTATATGTGTGCCTATGTGGATATGCAAATGTATGTACATAGCCATGTGTGTATTCATGCACATGTATGTGTATATGTAGACTGTAAATGTATATGTATGTGTATCCACAGAGGTGTGCACATATTCGCATGTGTGCCATTGTGTATTTTTGTGTGTGCACATAGGTGTGTTTATGTGTACATGTATACAGTGTACATATGCATGTGAATGTGTATATGTGTACATATATGTGAACAGAGGTGTGCATGTGTGTGAACACAGGTATATGTGTGTATGTTCCCATTGGACATGTTTGTACATGTCTGTGCACATGTGTGCACAAATGAGCCTGTGAGTGTGTATACTTATGTGTAAACATAGATGTGTGTATGCAGGCATACATATGTGCATTTTTAATACATACCTATTGTGCCCATGAGAACATGTGAGTGTGTGTACTTGTGTGTGTAGTAGGCATGCATGTGTATGTGCTGTATTTTTATGATCACATGTGGGTGTTCACAAGCAGGGAGCAAAGTTTGAAGATTGAGGAATCACTTATTGTCATGGAAAGAACCTCAGTAGTGGTTAAGAGACCCAAACTGGTTCAGCACTGGCCTTTAACTAGCAGTGTACCTGAGTTGGGACCTTTGGACTCTGCTGGGTTTCCGTTTTTACAGTAGGAGTTTTTATTTGCCTTGTGTTTTTTTTTTCAGTACCTGTGTAAGTCTTGGTTAAATGGCTCCACCATGATTATAGGCTTAAAGCTGTGCTTCCTGCCTCCTGCCACAGAAGGCTTGGATTCTGTCAGGATGATGGCCACCCCTGCACACACATATGTGTGCACAAACAAATGACCTTGAACATCTTCTTGCAAGTGATGCAAGAACATCTTCTTGCGAGTGATGCAAGAAGTCTCTCAAAGTCTGGCTTCTGCAATGAAGCTCTGCTTCAAGTCATACACCAGGTCACTATAAAATGTACTTCAGGAACCACTTATCTATAGTTTAACTTATTTATTAACATAAAGAAACCAGCCTCAGAGAATGATTAGCAATATAGCTAACTAACTTACTCACTTATTGTTATTGAGTTGATTCTGACTCCTAATGACCCTCCATCTGGTTTCTGAGAATATAAGTCTCTACTGGAAGAGACTTCGTATCCCTCCCCATCAGAGCTGTTGGTAGATTTGAACCACTGAAGATGTGTGGGGATTTTGTGTTAACAGCATAATGTGCTGTGGCACTGTGGCTGATTTTTATTGCATGCTCACTATGAGCTGTATCACTATGCTACGTGATTGCATGATGATTCCTACAATTCCATGAATTAAATGCTGCCACTTTTCACTGTAGACAAAAGAAACTGAGGCTCAAAGTACTGGAGAACTGACTGAGAACACACAGTGATTCATGGGCAGAACCAGACAAAAACTCATCCTCTGTGTTTATGTTCCAGCACGTTCCACTGTAGTTTTCTGATACTTCTGGTAAAGCAGTTTGCTTTACTCCGTGAGTGTCTGTCCATGTTTTTTGACTTTGCTTTTGCAGAGGCTCCAGCCCTTCCATGTATAACTAACACCTGGGGGAGCCGTAGTCCATTTCTTGCAGGAAATCTTCCCTGTTGATGAGGCACTTCAGAACTCTACGGAAGACAGTATAGCACTTTCTCAAAAAGTTAGAAATAGAAATATCATTAAGTCCAGAAATTCCATGACTAGGAATATAGCCTAAAAAACCAGAGCTGCCACCAAAACAGATAATGCGCATCTATGTTTATTGCTGCATTAGTCACAACAGCAAAGAGATGGAAGCAATACAAGCTCCCATCAACAAATGAAAGGATAGAAAAATTATGGTATATTCACACAATGAAATACTACACATTACTGAAAAACAAAGAACACATAAAATATTACACAACATGGATGGCCCTGGAGGACATTATACTGAGTGAAATCTCTAAATCACAAAAGGACATATACTGTATAACATGACTGACTAACATGGAGGGTTGGGGGTAAACTAGGATAAAAGGGAATAGATGATGAACACTGCACTGGGACAAATGAAGGAAAGAACTGTTTAAAAGGAGTATATGATTAGGCCTTATTTGTATAACAACAGTCCAGAATAAGAGGTGCATAGCAATGTGGACTAAGGGAGGAGGGGTCAGGGTCAGAGGAAGTAAAATGTACAACAAAGAATGAATGAAAATCCAACTTTTCTGTAAACTTTCATTAATTACTGTAAACCTTCATTAAAATAACAATTAAAAAATATAGAGTCAGGAAAATAAAAAAGAACTCTCACCTGACCATTCCCAACTTCATCTGCTGATAAATACAGATCTCAGTCTTTTTCTACACTCACAAAATCCCCAAAGGCTGTCCTAGATAAGAAGAGATAGAAAACAGAAAAACAGTTGAAACCATCCATAATACCAGGAGCGGGTTTTTCAAAAAGGTCAATAAAATTGACAAACTACTGGCAAATTTGTTGTTGTTGTTAGGTGCTGTCAAGTCATAGGTGACTCATAGTGACCCTATGAATGAAAGACCTGGACACTTGTATAACTTTCATCCTTTCTCCAGGTTCATAGGGTTATCGGAGGCAGGCTATTTTGGAAGTGGATGTGACCTAGAAGAATGTTTGACCAAAAACAATTAAAAACAGGTCTGAGGGCCATGGATTAGAATCACCCACCTTTGGCTTGGTAGCATCACTTGCTGTCCATTAGACCAACTGATCTCTCTCTATGCTATTGTTGTTATTGTTAAGTACCATCAAGGTGTAGATGACTCATAGCGACCCTATGAAAAGACCTGAACACTTGTATAACTTCCATCTTTTCTCCAAGTTCATTGGGTTTACAGAAGCAAGCTATTTTGGAAATGGGTGCCACTCCTGCTTCCAAGCTTGTTTTAACCGAGGAGCTCCACTAAACACTGTGCAGCATGGGTAGCTGTTCTCGCATTTGACACATCAGTTTCACAGTGTTCAGCTTCACAGCAACCATGAGTTACCTCTGTACAGCAAGTGGACAGACCAGGGCTATATGACCTAGAAGAATGTTTGACCAAAAACAATTAAAAACGGGGCCGAGGGCCTGCAGCCCTTGAGCCCTACAGTATTTTACAGTTCTGGCATGCCCAGATGTTGGAGGACTCTTTGCCAGAGACTTCTAATTCATCTGACAAGTCCCCTCTGCTGACACCCACTTGGGACATAGTATAGTATAGTATAGTATAGTATAGTATAGTATAGTATAGTATAGTATAGTATAGTATATAAAAACACAATATGTAAGAAAAATAAAAATATTAATTTTTTAAAAAAAGAATGAAAGTCCTAATTTTCTGAGGGCAAGATAGATACAAGATAAAATTTTATTTTCTTTGTGTACTTTTCTCCCCCTCCCCCAATTAGTATAGTGAGGACTTTTGTGGGGAAGAGTACTACAAGAAGCATGATTTTATAATTAAAAAGAAATAATAGTCTGATGGCTAGTATTGTGTTCTGGAAAGAACATAGTTGCTAATGCAGATAGAGCTAATTCCATGTATGAGCTGCATAAAATTGGGTAAGCTCCTTACTTCCCTTCTTTAGCTTCAGCTAGCAGAATCAGAATAATAACTGCAAGGAGGTAAGAACTCCTCCAATGGCCTTAGCACTGCACCAAGATTACATTAGTGCTCTCATAAATGCTCTTTTCCCTTTACTTGATAAATAAGCTTAATTCTCTTGCATCCTCCAAGTAATTCCTTAAAGTGTGTGTACTTGATAAATAAGCTTAATTCTCTTGCATACTTCAAGTAATTCCTTAAAGTGTGTGTGAATGGACTCTAGTTAGAGTGATGGGAAACCCTAGGAACTGCAGAGGATATTACTAGAGACGAGTCCGAGAGTGGTGCCTTGATTTTAGCAGCTATGGCCCAACAAAGCTCAAGAAAGGGATCTGCCTTGTCCACTATCTTCCATTGTTGTTGTTGTGGTGGTGTACTGTTGAGTTGGAATCTACCCTTAGCTGACCCTCCAGCAAGTTTTCAGAGACAGTTAATCACTGGGGTTAATCGTTCTCCTGCAGAACAACTGGTGGGTCCAAATCATGTGCCTTCAGGACTGCAGAGCAACTTTTTACCACTAGGCCACCAGAGCTCTCCCTAGCTTCCATTATAAAATTGAGATTATATTCTATCCTGTTTGGAAATAATGTGAGATGGTCTTTAGAATACAAAAACCAAACAAACAAAAAAACAACAAAAAGCAACTTACCAAAAATCAGCAACAACAACAACAACCATCACTTAAGAAAAAAAAAAATCATGCAATATGCTGAAATTCATAGATTACTTCTTCTCAAGAACACGAACAGCTGTTGTCAAGTTGGTGCTAACGGTGACCCCACGTGTCTCAGAAGAGCAAGATTTTCACAGTTGTGGCCTTTCAGAAGCAGTTGGCCAGGATTTTCTTATGAGGCACTTCTGGTTGAGTTCAAACCATCTTTTTGGTT